AGCCAAGTAAATAGAGGGACAGCTTTATGTACATTATTCTGAATATGTAAAGTCAGTATATTTTGTGAACTAACTCCTGACTAACAGGTCCATGGGTGTTGTAGCTCTTCATCTGTCTCCTCCACCCTGTGTTCCTACCTCTCCTTTCAGCCTCTTGTACAGCCGCCTAGCGATCATGCCTCTAGTGTACGCCTGGATGGTGATGACTGCCCAGAGTCTGTGTCTGAACGCCCGCCGCACCAGGTACCCTCTACAGCGACCCTGGAACCCGGTGATCCGCTGACGGGCCACGTGATAGGATGCACACAGTTTCCTGGATCGAACCAGAGCCTGTAGACGGGAGAAGCCTGCTCGCATCTACAGGACAGAGAAGAATGAAGAGTAAAAATATCAGCATATGCTTTATAAATTATAATTTTTTTAAATCTCTGTGTCAAACATGGATCCCTCACAGCTCCGTAATTCTTCCGACACTGATATCCTCTCCATGTCTTTTGGATTAACACCGCTGACTTTTTCATCCTTAGGAAGTTGGACCTGTTGGTAAGAGGCACAATCTCAGGTGTTTTTAACAAATATTACATAAAAAATTGTATCGTTGCGAGGTGACAATAAATCCACAAGTAGTATTACAATTAGCCTTCCGAACCCACCTGTCCTTGAAACCCCTGACCACCTTCTGGATGAGGATGACCTTGTCAGTGATGGCTTTGTCTCTCTCAATCTCCAGCAGCATGTCATGGTGATCCTGCACAAAGGACAGTTATATTTAAATCAAATCACTCCCAAAAGGCATTTTTCAACCGACTCAATTAATCTTTAATCATAAATAATACGTTTTGGCTATCATTGTTGCAGTTATGACAGTGACTGCATTTCATGATAACGAGGCACGATGAGGCGGTTTGTTTTAGATTAAGATGTCATGTTTTATAGTGGGCATGTTAATCATATTGATAGCATTAAAAACATTCCTTTTCTTAGGTCTATTGAGATTTCCCACATGCATTGATCTGGCAGCAGCCTCACCTAACACCTTTCTAATCCAGTGATCTGACCATCTGCCCTGGATGATCTCACTACATCCTGTCAGGAAAGTGTGGGTACTGCCCCTGCTCTGTATCCCCCTCTCACCCCTGAACCTTGTACTTCCTGTCCTGCTTCCTGTCTGACTAAGCAACAAGACTGACAGAGACAAAACATTTAGAATCTGTCAGGCTACAAAGATTAACATCAAAGCTAAAGAAAACACTCATCTCTCTCCCCAGAGATTACTGGGCACAAGAGTTTTAATTGTGTCATAGTTTGAGCTTATTTCTTTTTATAAAGAACAAAACAACTGCTATATGACAGATAAACTGACAATGGCCGCTAAAGAAAAAAACCCAAAATGTTTCCATGGTGTCTCATTAACAAAAGCTGAGAAGCTTTCATTACTAAATGATGTTCATATTTCACCTCCGTGGACAGAAACAACTGTGTTACTGTGGCAACCCAACTACGGATGTGTCTTAACAGTGGCTTTTAACCTTTCGACAAAATCTGTCTTTACACAGTAGGAAAGAAAAACACAGACTCAATCAAAACACACTGACACACAAACATTGTACATGACAGACATTTTCACGAGAAGAGAATCAAAACATCACTGATGGCAACTGAAATAACTTTACGTGTATGATGTTTGCTTTTTTAACATTCCACTCAAAAAAAAATACGTGAGAGAAAGAATAACAGACAGTCGGAGGGAGAAAAAACAAAACAGTCTTTTGAGACCAGTGATTTCTCCCTGTGATTTCTCTCTCCAGACAATAAAGTACAATAGCTATAAAACAGCCGTACCTTTAGGAAAATCTTAGTTTTTCCCATTTGCCAGTCGTCGTCTCGTCCCAGAACTGCCTCCGCAATTCTCTGACAGGTTCCCCTTAAATCCTCCTGAAGCCAGAGACACATAAAAACAGATGTAATAGTACACTCAGAGATTTTTTTCTAAAAGCAAACAAAGTTACATTTATATATATATATAGCATTCAAGGGAGAAAGAAAAACAGTCACTGGTGACAGCTGTGGGAATATCTGCTCCTGGACTAGTGTCATGTGATGGATTTCGGACACAGACAAAAATACACAGAGAACAGCTCACACAGACAGATCTGACAGAGCTGACATTCTACCTGTTTGTACGCTGGTTTGACTCCGGGCATGAGAACTCTGTACCGGTCAACAAACTCCACAAAGGTGTAGCGGATGGGATATCCAGCACGACGGATACGAATGGTCTCCATCATACCCGAGTACCTCAGCTGACGCACACACAGCTCCCTGTCAAATAACTGCACACAGACAAACACACGACATGACATTGGTCAAAGTTAAAACTCCTTATAAAGTCAAAGTATATATCTCTGTTCACACACAGAGAGCAGACACTCACCATGGACTTCTTGTATTCATTGGGTTTGATGCAGCGGACAAAGAAAGGCTGACAGACGCCGAGTGTCCTCATCAGCAGCTCCAGAGATCTTTTAAACTGACTGCTCAGAGTGGGCGAGCGCTTCCTGGTCTCTGCCCCCTGACAGAGAAGCACAGAAATGTCAGGGTCAGAAAAAAAATGAGCACTTTCTTTTTTTCCTGTTTCTTCCTGAGCTCTGACACTAACGTGTTTCCTGTGTCTCTAAAAATAAAGGTCCTTGTGTGGATGACTGTACAAGGTCAGTGTGATGTCTGTTGCAGAAGATGAGACACAGACACAGTCACATCAACAAGTAGGTCAGTGAATGTGTGAATGAAAAACAAGTCAAAGCGTACACACACACACAAACTTGCAGTATTTGTAGCAGCGTAAATTTAAAAAAGTGTATATTTTAATGGTTTAATGGAAGGTTGATGTTTATAAATGTAGTTATTATTAGTTATCATAATAATAATAAAAATATTTTTTCATCTATTTGTTAAATGTGTGTGTGTGTCACTACCAATTACCATGGCAACATCAGCCTGAAAGATTTGTTTGATGAACTTGTTTTTGGAGGAGTGAACCAGCTGAATGATGTCACCATATAATGTGTCTCTGTTCTTCTCCAGAAAACCTGCAAAGCGTGCACACACACATACTACAATTAGTACTTTTTTAAAAACACATTTATTGTGTCCTTGTGTGTTTTTAGTGTGTTGAACAAACCTTTTGTTTCATAGAAAACCACTCCAGCAAAGTGCTGGATTCCAAACTGTGTCTCGTAGTTGTTCTTGGGAGGGATGTAGTTAGTGTTGACTTTATGTTGAAAGTTGAGCTTGTTCAACATCGTGGTGTCAGTCCCCTGCAGCAGAAGCACAAAGAGGAAAAAACTTATTCAACATGTAATGTCATTCAAATCCCATGAAACCAGTTGTTTCTTATCTGTTCCACATATTCAGTCCATGAACCTTGGGGAACCTGCTCTCCTCGTCAATGAGGGAGATGATGTTCATGGGTTTGATGGCGATCATATCCAAGGCGTCCTGGTTGTCGGTGAACTCTATGTGCTGCCAGTTGATGTTCTCCAGGTTGTACTCCTCCTGCTCCAGCTTGAAGACATGTCGTACGAAGAACTGCTGCAGGTTCTCGTTGGCAAAGTTGATGCAAAGCTGCTCGAAGCTGTGGAGGGAAGAGAATACAAGTCAGTGACATTCAGGAGAGGAAAGGTCAGAGGTGTTTGGTGTGTATGGATTGATGTGACAACAAAACTGTACTTTAGCACAGAGAAGGAAATATCTATTTGTTCTGGTTCTTATTACTTTTTCTACCATTAATTGTAAATAATTTTTCTGGTTGAAGGTGAGGATGAGGACAAGCAAATCCCACAAAGATGAGCTCAAACAAATGTATTTAAACAGTGAAAAAGAAGGAGAATCATTCGATAAACTGTTTCTTTTAAATTAAATATATTTTGTGTACCTGTTGACAGCAAAGTTCTCAAATCCAAAAATGTCCAACAGTCCAATAGAGCGTCTCATAACTTTAGGATGTGAGGACATAGGCTTGTAGATGGCAGCATTGATCTTCTCCACGATCCACACGAACAAACGACCATAAATACCCTGCAAACACACAAATATAAATAATAATTTAATGTACTTAATAATAATTATGAGTTGTATTACTGTAATTATTAACATTATAATTATTATTATTAAATGCCTCACTCCTCACTCAGGGACTAGTATAATGTACCAATGTACTTAATAATTATTAGTTGTATTATTGTAATTATTAACATTATTATAATTATTATTAAATGATCCTCACTCAGGGACTAGTATAATGTACCTATGTAGGTGTGCTATGGCTTTTTCAGCCAAAGATTAATTTGCATTTCTTTTTTCTTTGACACGTTTTAACTGACGTGTGTTTTACCTTGACAAAAGCATCTCTCACGTCTAAAGCTTGTTCCATGCTAAGTGGAGTGGAAACAGTTTCTCCTCTGGTGATGAGGGTGCGACTGGTCAAACAGTTCATCAGGTCCTTACTGTCCACCTGATACAGACACACATGGAGACACACACAGGACAAATAAGAGAGACAACAAGCAAAAACACACATTTTATGTGAACTTACATTAGCAAAAACAGACACTATGTCTGTATTTAATTTTGCTGTTGTGTGTGTGAGTGTTGGTATATCACCTCCAGCAGTGTAGCAGCAGTGCTAAGGTGAGGGCTGCGGACAACCTCACAGGCATCCAGGTTGTCATAGCTCCGAGCTGCAGATTCACAGTGAGTGTGTGCATGATTTAAAATTAATAATAATAATAAAAAACAGCAATCCAGAAGTCATTTTAAGTATATTACCTTCATATCGGAGGTTTCCCATGTGTAAAATAGCAGCCAAGAGTTTGGAAATTTCCCAATTCTCCTTGTCTGTAAACATTAATACCTGTATAAAAAGGACAACAATATTCCTTTAGTTGCTCTGTTTGTTGTTTTTTTCACCAGTATTTAATTTTGCTGCACACCTTCATGGCAGAGCGGATGTTGGAGTATTCCTTCATGTCATCACGGCCGTCACACACCGTACAGTTACCCTGCAGAGAGTGACAGTGACAGACGGAACAATTAAATAATCCCCCGCTAGGTGGCAGCAGATGGCTATAAAAGAAAAAGACTCAGATCTGTTGAAGCCCTTTGTGTGTGTCTTTCTTCAATTCCTGTAAGGCGAGGGGCTTTGGTACATTTTTGTGTGTTTTTTCAAATGTAAAATAAAATTGTAAGGGTGAGAAAGAGAAGAGTTCCTCACTATAGTCAGGTAGGTGTAATCTGTGGCTTTGCTCAGTCCCAGTTTCTTCTTCTCCTCTGCAGTCATTCCCTTCAGCATGCAGTAGAACACATGGTAGTTCCTCTCATCGTGGGCCTGAGCAGAGGAGTCATAAAATAGAAGCAATCTCAGTGAAACTCTCATTGTGATCCATTGAGTGCCAGTGCAGACAGTGCAGGTGAGGTGAGCATGGCTGGTACCTGTCGACAGACTCTGGATTTTTCTAGCAGGTACTGTTCTATCTTAGCTCCTTCTATAGCTCCTCTCTTGTTGAAATGGATGTCGATGTATTTCCCAAATCGAGACGAGTTGTCATTGCGGATTGTTTTAGCATTGCCAAAGGCTGTAAGACAATTGATAGTGATGGACTTATCTTCTTATGTGTTGGTAATTAATAATCAATTATGTAAGAATGGGTTGATGTTCTTACCCTCCAGTATGGGATTAGCTTCCAGCACCTGTTGTTCTATCCAGGAGTGTTGTCCACTTATTGCTGCCAGGAACTGAAGTATGAGTTTGGTGCTCTCAGTTTTCCCTGCTCCGGATTCACCGCTGTGAAAAGACAGTGTTGAGTAACCTATGACCTGAAGGTGGTGCTGTATGCAAAGGTACGTTTCTCAAGATACAACAAATATTTACTACATATAATTTATGACTGTCCTACCTGATGATACAACACTGGTCACGATTGTTCCTCTGCATGTTGAAGTAACAGTTGTCAGCGATGGCAAAGATGTGAGGTGGCATCTCACCGATCTTCTTGTTGGTGTAGAGGCGGATCTGGTCAGCTGTGTAGATGGGTAGCAGTTGATAGGGGTTGACAGCCACCAGGATGGAACCAGTGTAGGTCTACAAGAAGAGGAGCGAGACAAATGAACTGACGTATTTTGTAAAATAGGATAATTTATAGCTGTGTTATAATCAGTATGAGAATGAAATTGGTTTCCAATAAACAATAAACATGCATTTTACTATTTCAAATTATTTTTCAGTGGGCATCATGCAGACTGTCCATCCATTGCATGTAATCCTTGGTATATTATATTATTGGGAAATATATAAAACCAAATGTTCTTTCAGTTTTCATTGGCTCATCTGTGAAAGAAGCAGTTTTCACAAATACATAACATTCCAACATCTCAGCAGAATCTTCTTTCGTTTTCTTTTACGTTGTAGTAAATAATGGATGTTTGGATTAGGATTGTTTTAGTTAGTACATATACAAGAGGGGGGATTGGCTAACACCTAGATCAGATGTGGACCAATGACAGTTAGAGCGTATCACTATCATCACAGAAGATCAAGTGGCCAGAAAATAAATCAATCAGCAATCAGGCTTCAGCCTGGAGCAGAGGCATCAGTCCAGTAACATCTGAACATGACACCGCCGTAGTCAGGTTCGATCAGACTCTCATCCATCATATTTGGAAACAGGCCAATGAAACCACATGCAGTTTGATGATAAAGAGACAGACAAGACATTTTTGCAAGCTGCTGTGTTTGAGGCCATGCAGCAGTTAATGTGAGTCCATGCATCCCAGCCAAGATTAATCTCTCTCTCTCTCTCTCTCGCTCTCTTTCATTAACTGTGTCTGTCATGCTCATCTTCTGAGGAGCTGACTTACCCGGCCTCCACAGTTTGTCTTTAGAAGATAAAAAAAGACAGTGAAGAGACAAAAGAGAAGGAAGAAACTGAGATGAGAAAAGAACAGTCAAAAGTAAAGGTCTGAGCCTCGTAGTCAGGAGACAACTACAAAGAGACTGTCTGTCAAAACCTGGACAAAAGTTTAAACAGTTGTGACAGTGTTCCCTCTGAGGAGCTGAGTAATTGTAAAAATGTGAAGACAGTTGTAATAACAAAACACCATGTAGTCACTTTAAGACCACTCACATATATGAGCTTCTCTCTGTATCTGATCAGAAGGTTTCTCAGAATTCCAGCTTCATTCAGGTCTCCCAGGCGGATCATGTCTTCCACCCCATGGATGGAGGTGGGATGCATTGGCTTAATGTTGGTTGCATTCTGGGGAGAAATCCAGTGTTCCTGAAAGTGAAGAGTATTTTTACAGACACCATATTTTGAGTTATGTTTCAACAACAAATTACCAGGTTCATTACTTAGCAAAATGACAGATAAAGTACAATTACAGTAATCACAGGTAGGTTGTTTCAAACATTTTGGAGAAATAAGACGTCAGCTGACTCCAAGCTTAGTCTCTCATCATATGATTATTGTGATCTCTGACACACTCAGTTACATGGAGGCCAGAGTACTGTGGGAACAACAGCATTTTATTCATGACTCCTCGCTCTTCTTCGTGTCAAAGAGGTTTCACGTGTCATTTGTTGCTTGTTTAAAGCTGTGGGGTCTAATATGACATCTGTCTTATTCATTGAATTAGATAAGTACTGTATATGTTCAGGTCGACCTGACTTAAGAAGATTAGTACAACACTGAAAGCTCTTACGTTTCCTTCATCATCCAACACCTGGATCTGTCCTGAGTCACAGAGTTTAACCACTGCTCCAACTGGAACTTCGAACTCTCGACCACTCTTCAAGTCCAACCAGACATAGTCGCCCTGAAAAGGAAACCACAATTTAAGAACCAAGAACCATGGTTATAATGAGAACGTACAAAATGTACAAAAGCTATTAAAAGATTTTTTTGAATTTCCCACACCGTTACTGAATTACAACAGACACGTCTCCTACAGCAGGTTTAGATTAGTTAATAGAGATAGGTTGACTGGAGACTCTGGAAAACTTTCTCTGTCTCTGTGATTGTGTAGAAAAGTCAAAATATGGTCAAACACATAGTGTGGTCAGGTTGACTCTGGAGAACTTTCTGTCTGTCTCTGTAATTGTGTAGAAAAGTCAAAATATGGTCAATATCATTGGTCACAAAATGTGACTGACAGCTGGATTGTCCAATAGTAACAATGATGGTCAAAACCAGGATGGTTTTGAGTCAGTGTGCTGCTGTGCTTCTAGTTATCATACCAACAACAACTTTAACAGAATGTTACAATTATAACATAACAAAATAAAAAAACCCCGATATTTTCACATTCACATACAAACAGAGACATGTAACATATTAAATACACAAATCACACATATTATTTGATGTACTTTGGAATAAAGACAGGTAATGGCTCTTTCACTCTCTCTCTCTCACACACACACACACAGCATACCGGCAGCATAGTAGTATGTTTGGTGGCAGTGTTGACATTGCGTACTAAAGCCCATTTGGCCTGATCCTTCTCATAAAGTTCCACATAGTCTCGACGCTTGTACATCTTCACTGTTCACATACACACATACACTGTGTGAGTTCACGCAACTGCAGGTGAAAGGTTTTTGTACTGAGAAGTTTGAATTAGTTCTGGATCCTCTGGTTCCTCCTGCTCACGTGTGGACAGTTCTCAGACATATTATCCAGTAGGTCGCAGGTTATTTTCCTTTTGATGAATGAATTCCATACAAATCAAGTCAAATGGATGTGGAACCAGGGTCAGTAAATCCGTCATCCAGAAATGTGGTCTTCACTAAGTGTTTTTATCCAGCCTTAATTGTTAACAAACAAAACACTAAACTAAAAAAATAAAAATGTTGACAAAAAGTGATAAAAAGTCATCCTACTCCATCTGTTATATAACGTTGAAGTAACTGTCCCTCCAGCTCTCTCTCTCTCTCTCCCTGTAGCCATAACCTCTGGTCACCCATAGCAACAAGATGTCACTTCCTGCTCAGGTGTGTTCCAAAGGTGTTGGATTTCTGTATGGATAAAAACACTTCAAGCTCCTATTGCAATGTATATTCTGCAGCTTATGCTGGATGAACTGTGTTTCATGTCCGAGTCACACAGTGAACAATGTAACTACATTAATAATGATCATCTGAGAACTTGAACCACATGCATAGAGAAACAGAAGTCAGCCTAAAGGCTCATCCAGTAAAAATCCACACCTTAGCTAAAAAACAACTAGTGGTGGAGTCACGTTATGTTTAAATAACATTCACCTCATCAATTGTATTCAAAAGTGTATGAAAAAACACTGTACATCACTTGAATCCTACATTCAGTGGTAAATCTTGGTTTCAGACAAACATTTGCTCGCATTTATCATAAACAGCACTCTGACTGTTTAATTTAATTTCAGGGAGCATTTGAAAATTGACTATTTTAAATGTAATTAATATCATGGGTGGAAAACGCAGAGAGAAGTAGAATTTAACACGGGAAAAAATTACATACAGAAATGTAGACGTTTGACATGGCAGATTTTGGTTGGAGTAGAATGTGCATGCTAATGTATGTGTGTGTGTGTGTGCAGTAACAGGTGCTTGGTGGTGTACTGATCAGGAGGCTCGGTTTGCCAGCCCTTGAATTTACTTAATTAAACTAGGAGCATGTAACACACACACAGACTCACACACACACACACACAGACTCACACTCTCACATACAGATCAGAGCGAGCAAGGCCTCAATAATTTACTGAGGAGGATCTTTTTGTTGTCTGACTACGTGGCTGCTCATCTTTGATGTTTCGTGTTTTGTTTTTTTTCGCATCTATTTTTTAATCATTAATAAATCAATATATCGTAGAGGATACAAAAGGTTCAGAATCTAACAAGAAAGAACTGAAAATACATTTTACTAGTAGTGTCACAACTTCACAAACTTCACTAAGTTGTTGCCAAAACACTTGCTCGGTGTGAATAAATTTAGTGTTCAATAAAATTTGTGAAACTTATTCTACTTTATTTTGTAGGGTTAATATAAAATTAGTATAATTTTGAATACATTGCATTATACATTCCTACTCCCTCCCCATTTATGTTTTTTATAAGGATACTTCTAATTTTAAAACTATAAAGTCCATTAAGACAAATGTGTTTTGTTTATATGCATTCCTACTCCCTCCCCATTAATTAATTTGGACTATACTCCCCTTCAGCATACACAGACCATGTACGAGGCAGACCTGACAGACGCAGACCTCATTCGTGGCTGTGATGTCATGTTCAGAGTGAGTGAGCTGATGGGTGTGTGCTCACATCACATTTCTCATCAGGTAAATAATTCAGGACAGACATGAGCCACGTATTCACTTACAACTGTGGCTGTGACTCCTGTGTGTGGAGAGGTAACAAACCACAGACAAGATGGAGAAAAATAGAGACTACACAGCTTCACAACATATGTAATTTATAATTTAGTTACTTAGAAGGGGTTAGTATTTTTATCCTTGAGTAAACTAATAACTTAACTTTGATCACAGAATACATGAGGTGATATTAATTTGTGAGACAAAGAAATTACAACATTAATGGGTAAATTAAACTCCCCTCTTTAGTACAAAGAAACGTTGCCAAGTTATTCTGTTAAATCTGACTTTTGATTCGCGTTTGCATTATAAGCTCTCGTGTGAAAAAAGTGAGCATTTATGACACCTATTGGCGAGACCTAATACTGCAAGAAACTTCGCTGCTGATTTTTTAGCTATTTATTTATACACCTTGTTCTTACAGTCAAAGCTGCGTAACAACATCCTTTAAAAATAACAAAACTGTTCTTCATTTGTGCTTCTGACTCATTTAAAGCCGTATTTTAAGGCTCAAATTAATACATTAAAACTGAATGATAAACTTCGGCAAACAAGTTAATGGACAGTATACACAAGCTACAAAGGACGTTACTGTGGTGACATGGGCTCTTCTTTGTAAGCGTTAACAGTAGTTCACAAGGTGGAGTGATCGGAGCTCTAGCCCCATCTGCTGGGGTTTATGCACATCACAATTTGTTTCTGTTTTTCGTGGTAAGAAAAGACTAATGCAATAAAGTGGAATATTTATAGTACATGCAGCTTTGTTGATGTAATGTGATAATAAAGGCAATGGCTGCTTTGCTCATTTGCATTTAGATTGAGCAAGTCAAAGGTCAGAGGCTGAGATTTATTTTTTCCAACTGACCTTAAGCCATCCATTAAAAACCCAGACTGTGTTTTCTGCTACAGCGAACATTAATGTCTGGTTGTACCTCCAGACAAATGTATTTACATGTAGTGAGATAACCAAGGAAATAGAATTTACCACTCTCCAAAAAGAGTAGCAAAATGAAAACAAAAACTGCAGGACTCATTGCATGAAATAGGTTGTTATTAACAATATGGAGCCTAGTCTGGACCCCACTTTAAATCAGTTCTGTAAAACATCAGTATCTATTATCCCTTCTACTAACAAATCATGACCTATGACCGAGTAAAATCATGGAGCCTAGTCTCAAATCATGACCTATGACCGAGTAAAATGTGTTTGTTTTACATATTTATATTTAAACTGTCCTCACCTCGATCAGTGTGTTGTGTCCTGGGCTGTGATGCCAGACATTCAGCTCCCAGCATTCCAAAGGCCAATCAGAAAGACTCATGTCCAGTTCTGTTGCCATGGTAAACACTCGTCTATGTGCTGCGATATTTTCTAATTAACTCTACGTACATGTCCTGGTTACTACTTTGTAGCCCAAAAGTACAGTTCAAAAAGGTCCACACCTTAAAATAGCAGATTAACTGCAGTTAAATGTCTGTGTAAATCTATTCAAGAAAAAAATCAATTATTTTTCTATTTCTATGTGAAAATAAATGCCAGTCAGGAGAAAAGTTTTCACCCAATTTTTCTGTGCCTCTCCCTCCGGTTCTCTTTCTCTTTCTGTTTTTTTGTCACACATACAAATACACACACACACACACACTTCCTGTCAGCAAATACCCATTTGGGCCTCGACAGCATGGGTCGTAGGTGGAGGCTGTCAGAGTTGATTAGACAATTAAAAAGCTGAAAGATTCAGCCGGCCATTAAATGGGAATAAGGAACGCCGACACACACACACAAAAAAACAGAGTTACAAAATTAGAAATAATTATGGAAACAGTTGTGACTGTACCTGCTGTAGAATGACCATGGCTCTGGTTACTGTGCTTCGTGCTGGACATCAGTGGTTACATGAAGAACCTGGAAGAGTGTGGAAAAAGATATTTGGTTAATATAACAATGCATTTACTCTAATAACACACAGTACTTTGTATACATTTTACTACACTCATAAAGTGTTATGAACTAGTTTGTATTTGGACTGACAGTGTAGTAATACAAAAGTGGGGGGGGGGTGTACTAGTGACATTAATGATGTTCTGTTTCTGTGGATTAATTAAAGAAATACATAAATACAAATACATAATTACATAATAAATATGCTGACATTCTCTGGCAATATTTAAAAAGAACAAGCTTTTTTTTTACTCCTTCCCAACAGTGTATGAAACCTGTGGGAGAATGTGTTTGTAAATTATTCACTCTCTCATTATCCAGCCTTTTTTGGTTCATTTAACCTTTGACAGTGAGCAGCAGGAGCAGCTGCTGTTCAGAAGGAGGAACTCTTTGAAAGCAAAAACCCAAACCAAATGAATCCCCTGAGGAGTTTTCACTTCACTGGCAACATGTAAAACTGTTCCTGTTTACACAGCAGACACCACAAAACATTTCTCTTGTTGGTGTCAGAGATGTATTTTTCCAAACACTGCCACAACAGAGACAGAGTTTTACCACAGCTGTCACAAAAAATACAGGAATGACAACAGAAGAAAGTTCAGTCTACCACTTGACTACAGGTGAAAACCTTTTATACACACATTCACACCTACAGTCAACGTGGATTCTCCACAGACCTAATCCCTAATCTGGAATATGGCAGATATGGAAACTTTGTTCTTCTAACTCGTGTTGGCTGCTTCTCTATGACTAGCAGGAGATAAGGATTCATATTCTAATGCTTTAACAACAGCATCAGGTTATCAAGTGTGTAAAGATCAGCCATTTTATTTTATTTTCAAGAGCTTCTGCTGCATTTAACTCTCTGCCTCAATTTTCAAGACCTTCTGCTGCATTTAACTCTCTGCCTCACTGACCTTTGCTGATGAGGAAATGTCATTTCAAGGGTTTAAAATGGAAATATAAAGAGTTATTGCTCCATGAAACAATGAATGAACCTAGAAGATGTGAAATACAATACATACAGACGCACATACACACAAACACACACTCACTGAGAATCCCTATGAATATTTCAGCATCTAATTACCCCAGCTGATGTGGACACAGGTCGAGTGAAGTCATTTGTGGTGTGCGTAAGATATCAGATTTGTTTTCTGGTGTACATTTAGACACATTAACAACAACACAGTGAAAGTAAAACAAATATCTCAAATTTTAGGCAGAATATTTGAACAGTGAAAGGGAAGAAAGACAAAGTAGTAAGAAAAGGTGAAATAAAGCAGCAGGGAGAAGAAGAGATGGAAGATTCAGAGGACATCTGAAACCAGCAAAAACTGTTGAAAAAAAAGAATATATATATTCAAAAGAATATATATTCACTGAAGATCTTGGGTGTGTGATTGATCATTTAACATTTTGAGGGAGAGGTGAGAAGTAGAGTCTAGAGAATTATACTTTTGATTTATCATTACACTCGAACATGACATGAACCTTAATATTAGCACAAAATAGCTGATGATTCATGCATTATTTATGCTGCTGAAAGTGACACTAACATTTGCATCATTCTACAAGACAAATTATAATGATTTAAAACTTCTTGAAATACTGAACATTACAGTTATCAGTTTATTACCTGACCATTAAAAAAACTATGACAACAGAACAAACAGTTATCAGTTTATTACCTGACCCCGTGTGTCCATTAAAAAAACTATGACAACAGAACACCCAATACTTTCCTTAAAAGAACATGATCCAGTGATACACACACATATACACACACACTCATACGCAGTAAGGAGATTAACCAGAAAGCCAATGTGTCTCCTTAAGCCTTCAGTAACAGTTTGTCATTACCCTTTTGTGTTGTGAACTTCTTCCTCCTTCTTCTCCCTCTGTAGACTCTCCTGCAGGAGTTCTCAATGTCTTCTGTGGATGGAGTGATGAAGAGCTGAAAATGAGAAAAGGCAGGGGTTCTTCAGTAGGTGAAGTTAAATTAATTCCAGTGGTAGATAGAGAGAAGTGAAACCCTTATTTCCATCCTTTCCTGTCTCTTCTGACTTATCCTTCTCTCCTCCTCTCTCATTAAAAAAATCTTTTGTTTTTTCTTTCTGCCTTCTCCTGTGACTATTGTTGCTCCTCTCCTCAGTCCTCCTTACTCCTGCATCCCTCTGTCCTAGTAGTAGTTCAATAATTCCTCCTCCTCCCCCTCCTTCTTCCTTCTCTTTCTTGTTGGTATTAACAGCGACACGCTAAGCTGCTCATTCACTGCCACTGATCCCTGCTACAGTGGGGTGGTTAGCTGCAGCACCGGGGAGGTTGTAATCAGACACATACACACAGCGTAGGAACTGCCAATTTCCTGTTGAAAACAAACACATGATAAACATAAATGTAAACATTTTATTTACTTGTTTGTTTGTATATCATACCACATGGAGGATAGATATTGAATGAAAAAGATTTTTTTTAAAAACTTGAGCTTTGTTGTTAACATGTTTTGTTTAGTAAATGTTTTGTGATGTCAAAAGACAATAAGAAACACAAACAGAATAACACGACTCAGTATTCTCCTATCCTAAGACAAGTCTTATAGCAAAAAAAATATATATATATATATTTGAGATAGAAATGTATTTTGTGCATTTCTGTCTTCATTAAACAGCTCATAATAACATGGCCTAGAATAGTGCAGTTAAGTGC